ACCCTTTCCCCACCTCCTCCTATCCCCTCCCCACCCCCCCACCTTGATATGCGTCATTCTGTGACCTCAGGTCTGACCTTAAGAGATTTTAGCACACACTAATCCATCATCATCGACAGCATTTAATCTCAAGGTATGCATTTAATTGAGTATATAGTTCAAACTTCCGTAAATTTTTTACAAAAGGTGTGCAGCACTATGATCAACGTCATTGTCAAGAATGTGAATCATTATATAAATGCATGTTTTGTCATGTTGCAGAGTTTTTTTCCCTTCTAACTAACTAACAGTGATGCAGAGCTCCAAGCTTATCTATGTTCAAATCACTATTTGATGAAAAACTATATAACCCAATTCAGCTAGTTTGTGCATTTTGACCAGTCACAGGACATCAGCTTGTTTGACCATTTTAACCAGTTGAATCAATTCAGCTACTTTGCGCAGTGTGTCCAGTTCAAGCTCTATCTCATTCCGACTTCAGACAACAGGTTGCCTGATGCATATTGATAACTATAGTGCCAAAAATTTGAGTATCAAAATTTTTACTTCCTCGCCAAAACTTGCTCTTCTTGGCATGGTCATCAAATAGTCATAGCGCAAAATGCTGGGATGACAGAATAATTCACCTTTTAGATACACAGTTAAACTTAACCTCAAAAAGTACATCAGCTCTGCGTCTTCACAACCTTTCGAGCATGCCCAATTTTTGCACATAACAAAAGTAAGTTGGACTTGGTGCATTTCAGTAAATTTTACAAACCAGAAGAATGTCTATTACAAGTTTGCTACAGATTCTTTCCAACTGGTGAACTTCTGAATAAATTCCATAAAATTTATCTTAAAATTTTGTCCTAAAATTTCAACTCTTTGACCTAAATCTTCTCTGTTGACAAAACCTATGTACAGCTGTAATCTTTTAAGTTTAGAATTTATAGAATTTCATGATCACGGTGATAATATGGAATTCTCTAATTTTGATGAATGCAAAGAATTCTAGGAAGTGGTATTTATGAACGAAAAACAATATATGAAATTTAAGAACACTTTAACAAATCTGCCAACACAATATTTGTCGAGCATGCTTCAATCAAAATTTGATACTACACACAAAAGAATTTGAAAATTATGGAAAACATGTCAACAATTCTTCCTTGGACTCTTATAAAAAAGTTTTGAATTCTATCAAGGTGCTCTCAGCCACAAGAGGTGTTGTAATCCAATTACATAATGCGAATAGGTAGACACATATTTTACAGCCTGGCAAATCTCCAACGTGGAAAAGAGCCCACGCATCGAAAGATATTGTTCAACAAAAGCGTGTCTGGAATCACAATTTCTCATATAATTTTGTTTAAAAAACTGTCTAGCATCAAAATGCCAAAAAAGTATCACTGACACATTAACCATTCTTCTCCAAAAGCATGATTAAAATGTGTTCAGGCAGTATGAAGAACAGACACCAATAAATCATACAAATTGCAAGAAATTTTCCATGACATTCCTCCTTACTTGCGATAAAATATAAAAACTATGAAAAGCTATTGTACTTTAAGTTACATTTTGTTTTGAAAAAACCTTGAATGAAACAACTATTCAATGTTGGTTTCAGCGATATCCCACAGATTTTTTAGCCTATGGGTGATGTATGCAACAGTATGAGGCCTACATAGCACCAAGTTCTTTCTCAATTTACACATCAGCAAGTTACAAAGATACCCCAGAAAACACCAGACCTACACACTCTTGCGACTGAAAAAACATACTTTTAAAGCAACAAAAATAATGTTTTTGTACGATTTTGACTAAACAAATGCCTTACACTTAACAGGTGCATTTAAGAAAATTTTTCTTCATGCAAATTTTGATATTTTGTCAAAAATATTGGTTACCTACATTTACAATCAAGGAAACTTTAAGTCCTTACTACTCTCCGTGATTTACAAGCAAAATTCCTCGTCGGCCATAAAACTTACAGTTTTACCCACACTGTTTATCAACAACACTTTCCTCTAAAAAAAAACCTCTTACTACAGTTGTTTGTACGAGGGTAAAAGGTTCTCCAAGAATAAATAATTAATGCAATAAATCAGACGTATGCTGAGAAAGTTCTTAGTGACAGGAGACATTAACCTTGCGGAAGATAAATTTATTTAATAAATGATTTTCTGTGATTTGACCCAATTGTGGGAAAGTTTCGGAAACGTTCTCAGACAACAACAAAATTTATTGATGATTACAATTCACAAAATACTGGCTATCATATATGGTGAAGTGAAAACAAAAGCAAATGGAGAGCTCATGCAATGAGGATAAAAACACAGCTAGTTCGCTTTCGCTAAAGTATCGAAACCATATGTTCATTCCGGACGAACACGACAAAGTTAGATTCAACTTTGAGGACAAAAATGGTTGATTGCGTGAATTGGTTGAAAAAAATCTAGTTAATTATTTAATGACAGAAATTTTCAAAGAGCAAGATATATGTACTAAAACCACTTGCAGACGTAAAACAAAACAAATACGGCAGAAACTATTCAATAATCGCATTTTTCCTCGAGCTCCATTGAGTTGTAAACGCTCTTAAAAACAACAAAGTCTCGCACGGTAAACAGTTACTTCGATCCTTACACAATCCACAATTTTGCTGTCATGCGATAAAATTTGTAGAGCACTTTCCACCACTGATTCTCGACGAAATTATGCAATCACTGAATCATCCTCGATTCATTAATAATCTGCACAAAGAATAAATATATATCCTCTGATATCTGAAAAGGGTCTCTTTGCCTCGAATAAAACAAAAAATCAAACAAAAAATTCTGACAACTCTACAAAGAAGGATTTATGCTATTAGCATTACTTCGCTTGTAGAAACCAGATCCTACAAGAAATAATGACAGCGTCACAGAAATTGTTCACAGTTTTTTAATAGCATGATCTTCAAGTGGATCGCTTAAATTTCAGTGTGGTCCTCTACTCGAGACAGATGCGTAGCCAAATGGTGCGCGTGACAAATTTGTGAACACATCTTTGAACTATGATTTCCACACAATAAAAACAGCCATTAAAATAACCACTTTCCATATCGGAGTCTTCTATCTCTCATCATTATAATCGACTCGAATGCTCTTCAAACTGACACGTAAAATCAACTGACGAGTTTTCCGTCTAAAATCAACAATACTGCGATCGGCAAAAGTGGTGAAGACAACGAACACGATTCTTTGATTACATCGATTGTTTTTTTTGAACATTCAGCGGCTATCTCGTCAACAACAAACCAGACAAAACAGTGAATGAAAATAAAAGTTATCAAGGTATCACTAAAAAATAACCCACCTCGGTAAACTGGCGAGATATGTGAGAACTCGAGCCAAAGAACAAGGTTCGATTTCTGCTGCCCTAGAACGCGCCGGAAATGTTATAATAGGTCCTCCTCTTCGATCGCGACCACCTGAAAAACAAAATTTGCCATAATTTACGACAAAAAGAAGATTTTTTTTGACAGCACTTTCCTTTGAGGTAAGAGTATCAACGAATCACAAAAGCCGCATACAAATTAGTTATCAAAAACCATTAGAGATTGTGGTCGCGCACTAAATTTATTGAAATATCACCATAGTTATAAGACGCTCTCCATTGCACATTTATTTGCTTTACGCGATATACGAAGTGATGGATTATTGCTTAGATAATTCAAACATACCAAAGGAGAATCGATTAAAACGAAGAAACGGTGAGTGTTATCCGGCATTTTACAACGTAGAACCGTTGAAATTCAGTGATGCTAAGAGGACATTTCAAACGTATTCAAAGCGAGCGAGAACTCACGTCCAATCTCATTGTTTCTTACCGTAGAAAAATGCTATTCTTTGCTGTAACAAGTCAAGAACGTCTTTAGCTCTCAATCCTTCCCATCTTCCTTCTGAGTAAATGCGAACAATCCGATAAAAGAGAGGGAGAAACGTAACGGATAAAACATCAGCTTAAAAAAGTTGAATCTAAAATTTACTCTCCGCGTGAGCTACTACTCAAAACAAATATACTCTCAAAAACCCGGCGTTTCCGAAAAGTCTGGAAAACTTTTACCTGAGCCGAATATCGAGGACAGATCACTGTCCGAAGAGGCAGTGGACCAGCGTTCTGGCGTATTCATAGCCTTTTTCATAACTCGTTCTTCATTCGATTCACCTTACGATGACAGTTCTCGCTGGGAGAAGCCATTTTTTACTAACCCCGGTATTGTAGACGTGTGACGTCACGCGTAACGAACGTATGATAATTTATGCTTAATAGACATTCATGTCATTAACAGGAAAAGATTAATATTTTCAGCCTCTTGAAGAAACTTTTTGCGCAATCACTCCTGACTAAACTCAAATTTCATAGGTTTTGGATTTCACCGGAAAATAATAAACTTTTTTTTTAATTTTGCTATCCAGACCACGCAAAGTGATACGTCCGGAGAGAACCCGACCAATAACAATCGATAATAAACAGGAGAGTTGGGAATGGACTTCTGCACATGCCTCGGAAGTAAAAAAAACCTTTCCCGCGAGTGATCTCGCAATTTATATACCGCATACATCATCGCACACTTCACTTACTCACGTCCACATACTAACTAACTCACAAACAAGTTTCTTTTTGTCAGTATTTGGTCCCAACTTAAAACTTTTCGAATTGTTTACGAAATTCGCGTGCGCTTTCTTTGTTGATGAAATAAGAGATCGCTATCTCGCCTCGCCGCAAAATGCTTGTATATGATTCATCTGCTTCGGCTAAAAATAACTCCAAAATGTAGTCATAGGCAAGCTACTGCACAGTTTAAGTTCACCCCAATCAGTCTCGTCTCTCTTCTCCCGAAGAAAAGGCACGGTCTAGAGAGGAGATATTACCCACCAAAAATCCACACACTGATGCGACGGAAAACGAAGTTCCTTATCTAGCAATTGAAGAATACACTATAAGGACTGTAAGAGCGGACCACCGTGGTTTTAAGCTTTCAATACTTTGACCACAAGGGGCTTCATAGAGTTCTAATACTATTGTGGTTGGTCGTGAGATCGCAGCTTATAAAGTAGAAAACGTACAATAAATGCCTTAACCTTAAAAAGCATGTAAACCTCTTTCTGGGTCAAACTTTGAACGTATTAATGCGCGCGGCACCTGAAAGAAAAGTAATATTTTCGCATTTGAGTTTTTTTTAGCGCCTTAGCAAGCTAAAAACAATTTCTTTTCAGAATCATTTGTTTATTTTCATTTCTAGAGTTTATCTACAGCCATAAGGTCTGGACGCCGACAAAAGAGACAGCAGAGAAACAACATGTCTGTCGGAGAGAGTCGGGGGGTGAACTGCTGATAAACTTTGCCTCCACGCATTATACAGACAAAACAAGTTAAAGATGTTGTGCCATGCTGAGTTATTGAAATTTGACGAATCCCCTATCTATTAACAACATAATGAAGAGAAAGAATCTAATATAATTTTCAGAGTAAGTGGTTACTTTCACTGCAATTTTAACTGAAATTTGCCGTTTGTGCGTCGGAGTCTAATGAAGCCTTTTCATTGATTTTCTCCGCCAACACGTTAGGATGTGATGAAATATAAAAATAATGATATATTTGACCTCCTACCTAACGCAAGTAACTGAATATCATTAATGTTTGCCAGAACACCTTTCTTTGTGTGTATGCTAGCTTTATCATTGTATCGCATAGAGTGGTTGGAATATTAGGCGCCAAAGTGATCATCAAAACTCAAGTTTCAACCGCAAACAATGCACAAACAAAGCAGCCCGAAAAATAAAATTGTGATTATTTTAGGAACTGGTAGCAGGTTAAGATCGAGAAGTGGTGAAGTCCATCAGTTTAAAGGTACGAAAATTGGATGAAAGTAAGAGACAATAAGTCCCATGCTGTGATTTCTGTTTAGACTGTTCAGCTGAATGCACGCTGTGAAAAGTCTGATCTTAGAACAAATGATTGCAGGAATTTGCAAAGAAAAGGGCGTCAGCTGATGGGATTGAACAAATGCGATGTAATTCCGTCCGAGACGGGCTTGCCCTGTAAGCCTAATAACAGGTGTGAAAAGTAGCGAATATTTTGGAAAGACGATCCCATGAAGACATTAGGTGAAAAAGGAGGGGGGGGGAGCTGAAGAAGCTTTTCCAGAGTTAAGTTTCTCTTGCTGCCTACGTTTGATCAAAACAGGATTTTGGAAAGTTGCGTGTGCTGAGTGTACAAGTTTTCAAGAACCGGAACTTCGGTGTAATGGTTAGCACAATATCTCGCGTGTCGTTTTTACCGAAATACTTCTGGATCTAAACGAATATTTCTGCGCAACGTCCTTAAACACACTTGCACGATAACTCTGTTGCCCTTGATGAGGAAAAGTGATCAGTGAGAACAGAAACCTCACCTTGACCACTAGTCTTCTCAGATGGCCTTGGATCAGTAGCGCGGCAGCCCTGTACCTTCCCTTCTACTCTCTTTGGAAGGAGAAACATTTGTAAAAGAAACAGAAAATTTTACTCGTGATGTCATGTCGAAGAGTTTTGTGACTAGAACACATAAAGGGGTGGATGCCATTTGCGTGCAGCAGTGCAATCAGTAGACCCTGACACGTTTTGAGATGATTGCGCGCAATCGTTATAATTCAGATATTGTAAAGTTAGAGGGAAATAAAAAAAAGTACGTAGAGGCATTTAAAATATCGCTGTTATGTATGATTCAGGGTGCGACTGATTTCGGTCAGAGCTCGTATAGTGGTAAACTTGCGCCGAAACGATCGACCAATCAGAATTCTAATTTCATCAAGTATTACACCATTCGAGTCAAGCGCGGGAAAATGGCTGAGTCATCGTTTTTGATCCAGTTCGTTTTTAATGTCATGAACTGAATATAAAATGTAATTTAACTGAGTATACGAACTAGTTTTGAAGTGATTTGAACTTTCCCTGATAAAATAATAAACAAATCAATTTTTACGCATCATTTGAAGAAAACCATTTAAAGCGAAGCTTAAAGCCCTTAAGACGTCAGTAAGTGTTTTTCAAATGGTTTCCATCATCAAAAAAAGTCACGCAATGGTATACTATGCTTGGGTTACCCTATATATATTCATGAATTAAACTGGAATAATTACATCATCATTATAAATTAGAGAATCAAATTCGGTGACTTAGCAAAGCCCACGTTAGGATCAATTTTATTAAAACTTTGCACTATAAGTTCAAATCTGAGTTTGCCTTTCTGTTTATTACACTTTCATGTTACTGTGAATTTCTTCAACGTTCCATTTTCTTTTTCATTCTAAACGAACAAAAAACGGGGTGCAGTTTCCGCCGTAAATAAATGTTTCGCCAAAAATACCAAATTTGGTGTCGTAATCTTTCCAAAAAAATTTAAGTATAAAATGATAATCTATTTTCGCTTCATTGCGGTTAAATGTAAAAGGACCTGTGGGATTAGTTCTCTTTACGGTCTCTGAAAACAGACGAATATTTTGAAAAAAAAACCCATATCAGTTTGAAATTATGGGTCTAACTTAAATTGGTAAATTGGTTATTCTCAAGAATGATCTTGAATTACAACGGAAAAAATGAAGAGAATTTAGTGAGACTCTCTTGCCAGGAGCCAAAAAGTGATCTGAGTAATTTACGTGATTGTGGTTTTTTATGTACTGGCAAGCTACATATTTTAAATACTGCAGGCGAGAGACCGGTCTGAAACCATAAACCACATTGTACGGAAATTAATTGCTTTTTATATTCTTATTCGCGCAGAGCGGTTGGAACACATGAAAAAAGATGAAAAGCAAAGAGAACAAAAGAAAAAATGCGTTTCTCGGATAATGGATAATTTCTCTTTAAAAAATGAAAATATGTAACCGTGGAAGGAAGGAACCATGTCTGCAGCGATATTTCCGCATCACTGTTTCGACGAAAATAGATATCAGTGTTAAATTTAATCCACTCAGAAAAAACTCTTTGAGTCATGACCTTGTCAGCACTATGAGTGTTTCGAGAAAGAAGTTAAACTTGAGGCACCAGCACAGAACAAAGAAAAATACGATCGACTCTCCAACCAAGATTCAAACATTTTTCAATTACAATTTCGCTGTCGGTCGGTTTCTATAAAAGGAACCTCTCAGAACTTGTTAATCAGCACATGTGACAAGCGACCCACATAAAACCAAGATCAGATAGGTCGGCTTTCAAACTTTTCCACGAGTCCGTCTATCTTTTGTTTTAGTAGTGTGGGCGTTTGCTGTACGTGAGAGAACTTTGGTTGAGGTCAGATGACAGGATTCACGTCCATTTGAGTCTCAAGAGACATTGTTTGACATTAAATATAAGCTCTCAGCTCTTCATTGTGCGGCAAAGAAGCTGCAAGATGTCAGAAGATGTTCGATGCTTTTGGCTGTGTAAAGAATCATTACCTTTTTACCAGTTTATTTCAGAGAAATCGCTTGAAAAATCATTGGGAAACTTGGTGTTGTGCATACTCACAGAAGGAAACCAATTCAGCAACAATTCCCACTTTGACCTTCTCTATCTTCTATACACAATAAACAATAGATTACAAACAACTGAAATGTTAATGACACTCAGTTCACCTTCTTTCTTCATGTGTTTTTTGCCGTTTTGATATAACACAAATAAATCAAACTGTTTTTTGTGAAAAACTCTGTAAGTTCTTCGTAAAGGTGATAGTTTGTGGGACAAGATTTCTACACAGCCAATTGTACATTAAGTATACAGTTCTTGGAGAAAGAAAACAATAACGAAACCACTACACCGCTTTGCGACTACCGCTTTGTTTTAAAGTTGTATGGGGCTATACGGAAATCTTTCCGTTGGCGGGGTTTATATACACCAACGCGAAGTTGAGGTCAGTTCCGAGTAAAGATACAAACATATACCACATCTGTTTTCCAAAGCATAAAATATCCAACACGTAGGTTAAGGAAACTTCTCTGATCGCACATGCCCGTGTTTTGCGTGGGTTTTATTGGCGGATAATCCACTTTTCAAGGGTTTACAATTACAACAAGACTCTCGAGCTTCCGGAATAGACCGCTGTTTAAACAACGTGGGCGGAATTTGAATGTCAAATAATCCGCCAAATGTTTTTCTAGTAAACGAATTATGATTTGTCAAAACGGATGGTGCTTAAAATGCTTATGCTTCGTCAAGTTCCGAGATCTCCAAATTCAGCGCAGTTCTGGGTATAGAGCCCCTTCCGTAC